CTTCTTCAAGGGTGTTCAAACAGCTTTAAACCTCTACAGATGAGGTTACTTGGTCAATGTTTTGTTACCAAGTGAGAATTAAGTTAGCGGTGAGTGGGGGTAGGGTAGGGGGAGCTTACAGAAAAAGCTGAAGTCAAAAACAAACAAAAAAATCACAAATCACCACCTGCCTGTATGCTCTGTAAGTAGAGGGGTTATTCCTCCAACAGGCCGTATCACATCACATGTATGATGGCTACCAACTTTTTCAGACCTTACAACCAGAGCCACAGTGCTAAGAAAAGATTTTTATTGTAATGTTATGGTAAAGTCTAGGGCAGGATTCTCAGTGGTAGAGAAAGGATCACATATGGGTGTCATGCACAGCACATTCCTGAACACAGTGTGGTTAGAGAGAGTTCTGGGGTATTGTGTGTGGTTGGATATTTGCTCTTTCTCTCTCCTCATTGTTAGCTAAGGTTGTAGAAGGAAGATATTGGAGCCGGTTCTTAAGGAGGAAAATACTTTTTAGGTTGACATATTGCAAAAGAGATTTTCCAATGAGAAATGTGACTTGTGGGAAGGCTGGAAGTTGTGGGTGGCTGCAACAGAAAAACTAGATGTCTGGAAGTGTGTAAACTCGAGTGAAGGGCATGAGAGGCAAGAGAAGAGAAAGTTAAGGCCAGAGTTGGGGAAATGTGTCACAGAACTTTAAACAGGGAAATGTGATAGGACAGAGACTAAGTAACTGGCAGGTATTTTACAGTGAGATTACACAAGTGGACCTTATCCCTCTGTACAGGAGTAAGGTAGTGACTGGGCATTATAGCAAGAAGCCCTGGGTTGGGACTTGGAGTGTAGCTCAGAGGAAGTATAATTGCCTAGCAAGGACTTGAATTCCACACACATCACACCTGCTTTTTGGAAACAATAAAAGTTTATGCTAACAAACATGTTTAGTAGGGAAGAAGTAGTGACAGGCATGAAGTGATCATAATTTAACTAAAATAAAGGGCAAGTAGGAGTGTGGCAGCACATTTAACTAAAGGGAGAGGACATGAGAAAGAAACCAGACTTGGTGGCTATCCAACACTGGTACCATCCTAGCTCAAATTGTTAACAGGCTCTCTGGTTAAGATGAATCTTTAGTTGATAGGACAAGGCAGTCAAGATAGATAGAGATGTCAGCAGCCTTTATGAGCTTGGGTTGTTTCATAAGCCTGGAATGTAGCATGTTCATAAAGTATACAACCTCAGAGATAGAGACCAGAGCCTGGGGGAAGCCATCTTGAGCTCCACCCTTTGGTCACAGACTGCCATTGTGGGTCACATTCTAGAATGCTAGTGTGGAAGTCCCTAAAGAAAGAGCCGGTAAGACAAATGAGGGTTGACTACAGCAGAAAGGGGGCGGGCGGCAGCTCACACCCCGAAGTGGTCTGACCATTGAATCAGCTCCACAGCCGGGGTCTCTGCACCTCCTCCCCTAGTTGACAATGGAGATATATACACAAATCCCCATGGAGGTTAGTGCCTTCTTTCTCTTCATGCTGTTGCTCTCAGACCATTTGCATTCACATTCTTCCAAAAGGAGCTCCAGACAATGACAACAGAAAGCAACAGACCAAGATAGATCAACAAATAAGAGAGAAGACTCTTGGCCCTTTGATGCTTTGGTTGTTACATGATTTGAAGTCATATTATGGGGAGGTAGGGACTGAGCTCTCCGTTGAAAGGTTGAGATTTTGTTAAGGGTCCAATTTTGACTCTGAATGTCATGCACATTGTGAGTGATGACAAAGCAGTTACTTTGCCCTGCTCCCTTTCCCATTTTAAAGTGTTCTTTAAAAACAAACAAAAAAAAAAAAAACTCCATCATTTACAGCTCCATTTTTATCATTGTTCTGTTCTTCCTGTTTCAGCTCATTTTCCATCCCCTCAAACACATACCGCTGCTGACTACTGGCTAGGGATTGAGAGACTCCTGTGTTAAGGTCACATTGTATTTGAGTGTTTTCTGGGGTCTCATTCAGTGGCTCATCTGAGGCCCAAGTGGACTATTTCAGCAAGATTTTATTAAAGGTTTGGGTGAAGCAGATGGAAGGTTCTACTACTAGATGATCATAGTGACAAATTTGGGGACTTTCTTGAACTGTGATGCCTAACAAATGAGAGGACTTACTCCTTTCTCCCTCTATTCTTTCTCCCTCCTGTATTTTTTTCAATAAACAGAGCATGAAGATGAGACACTGGTCCCCTTGAGTTCCCTTTCAGAATCCATTTCCTTCCTCAAGGAATCGAAGCTCTAAGATTGGCATACATTGCTTCTCTTCCAGTACTATATTTGTTAAATATCGTAAACACAATTTGTGGTGTGCTGTGGAATGTTTGTATGAATGATTTACTGCACACATAATCTTCTCTATCCTGCTCTTACTGGGCACTGTATTTTTAAGAATTTCTTGATGTTAATACTTAAACTGCTAGTTTACTCATTTTCATTTCATATAAAAATAAATGATATATAAATTCATTTGATATGATCATCAATTGATCTATTAATTTCCCTGTTAATAGGGGCTAGGATTTTTTTTTTCATTTTTTTTTTGTTTTATCTATTTTATTTTTTTCAAGACAGGGTTTCTCTGTGTAGCTTTAGAGCCCTTCCTGGAATTTACTCTGTAGGCTGGCCTTGAACTCTCAGAGATCCGCCTGTCTCTGCTTCCCGAGTGCTGGGATTGAAAGTGTGTGTTACCACCTCCCGGCAGGGTCTGGTTTTTAAAAAATAAACATGATTGATGATTTTGTGTATATAACCGTGTTTGAGAATTTCTTTAGATATACCTGACAGGAGGATTGTGACCAGGGACACATAATGAGATACTCTAAAAAACAACAAAACCACACACATGCATACACACACACATACCCCTCTGAGGGTACAGATGTTGTAGGTAGGCCCTTCTCAATACAACCAGAAATTACTAAACTCTTCTCCAGAGCAGCTGTTCCAAATTACATCCACCAAGAATCTGTGTGAGCCCTTACTTTTCTGCATTCGTGTGTGTGTCAGATAGCATTTCATGGATTTGCGTTTTGTACTTTCCTGATTGCTTGCTTGCTTTTTTCTTTTTTCTTTTTCTTTTTTTTTTTTTTTTGTTTGTTTGTTTTTGTTTTTTCGAGACAGGGTTTCTCTGTGTAGCTTTGAAGCCTTTCCTGGAACTTACTCTGTAGCCCAGGCTGGCCTTGAACTCATGGAGATCCACCTGCCTCTGCCTCCCAAGTGAGTGCTGGGATTAAAGGTGTGCACCACCACCGACCAGTCTTGATTGCTTTCTTAATTTTCTAGGACAGGACTATGTTTGTCATGAGCTGTTATGTATTGGTTGGGTTTTGGTTTCATTGGTTGACATTCTGTCCAGAATATAGTCTTTCTAAGGCAGAAACACCTCTCTGGTGTGCTCTATTAGCCTTGGAGCTCACATCAGAGTATAGCATATAATAAGGGTTCAGTATGTAGATATTTAATAAATTAACTTGGAGTGTGTGTGCGCGCACGCACACACACACACACACACACACACACATACACACAAAGCACATACATGTGTAAATCCCTTCAGTAAGTCTGGCATGTCTATAAATAAATGCCCATGCAATAACAGGGATTTATATCTTTATAGTCTTTCTATCCAAAACCTATGCTTCATATCATAACCAGTTCATAATACTCAAGTCTAGTCTTCATTTCTTCCTTCCTTTATGTAAGTCATGCAGTGAGCTTTCATAGGCAAAATCAGTAACCAGGAGCGTCAAATAGTGAAGCATACGTACCATGAATCAGAAAAGGTCTCTCTCTACTCTGGTCTGGAGCCTAGGATTTGAAATATACTGATGTCCTATTAGGCAAAAATTGTATTTTCCACATGAGAGAAACCAAAGTTATAGTGAAGTTCACTATTAAATAGAAAATTATACTGGAAGCCCATTGCATTTGTTAAGATTATCTGTGGCACAATTAATTCTTTCTTATCCATGTGAAACTTTCTGAGACAGATGGAGACTTCAGCAGAAATTCATGAGGCTAAGTGCTATAATTTTTTTTTTTTAGAAATGTAAAAGTTGGAAAAGACTAGAATAGACCTCAGCATTCTGCCCCCTCTCCCTTCCCATCCACCGTTCTCTGTGCTGCAGGCACCCCAACACTGCCAATTGCAAACCTTTCTGGATTCACTTAGTTCCCTGAGCTGAGCGCTACTCTGACTGCTTCTCAACTTAGTTTTGCTTTGGTTCCTGTCTTATGGGATATATAGGACAAACTGTCCAGCACACCTTAAACCAGGAGCAGTCAAGGATGTCTTACGAGCACACACAGTGAGGACCAGGAGTTAGAGTAGTAGCAGGTCACCCAGAAGCTACCAAGGTTACTCCTGTTTCAAGAGAAGCACCAAGTCACAGATGTGGTCTCAAACACAGATTCCTAGGGAAAGATGCTGACACCACATGACCAGATGCCTTCATCCCTCTAGGAAGCCATGGTCCGAAGGTTTCATTCTACAATTCATGCTATGAACATGACAGCCAGGAAGTCACTCCTGTGACAGATGATGTAAGACACATCCAAGAAAGGAGAAGGATTCTAGGCCAACATTCCTTTTGATGGCTTCCAGAGTTATCTGCAGCTGAACATGTGTTCAAGATCTTTGAAGCCTCTGGCTTTTACCCAGGAACAGTTTCACATCTTCTGTTTCCTTAACTGTTCTTTCCCTAAGTATTTCCTGGTTCTTTATCCAACTTGTTGATCTCCTTCCATTACCAATTACCAATTTATCAACAAATCCTTGATTTCCTGGACTCCTAAAACTGAGCTTTGAGGACAACAAGGGGTCTTTTTCTGTATATTTATTTATTATCTATTTAATTAGTAGAATTAGAAAGTTCAAATAGTGTATGTAGCACTACCTCTTTCTGGTGGGCTTATGGTCCACTAAGCCTTTCTGAGATTTCACATTGTCTTATTGCAGGAACATGACATCGAAACACCCCATGGTATGGTCCACGTCACCATAAGAGGCTTACCAAAAGGAAATAGACCAGTTATCCTGACATACCATGACATTGGGCTCAACCGTATGTATTTGATTTACAGCTTCACTTTTTATCATCGTGTGTAATCTTTATATATTAAGGAAACAATAGTATTCCATTTTTTAATTTATTTTTATTTACTTGTTTATTTATTTATTGGTTTTTCAAGGCAGGGTTTCTCTGTGTAGCCCTGGCTGTCCTAGAACTAACTCTCTTTGTAGACCAGGTTGGCCTTGAACTCACAGAAATCCACCTGCCACATGCTGGGATAAAAGACTAAATGCATGTACCACCACTGCCCAGCCTTCTTATTTTTATTTTTATTTTTGGGGGGTGGGGGAGATAGTATTCATTTTTTTTTAATTATTTTATGTGTATGAATGCTTTTACAGCATGTGTACCACATGTGTACTTGATGCCTGTGGATGTCAAAAGATCATCAGACCCCCCCAGAACTGCAGTTACAAACAGTTGTAAGCCACCAAGTGGGTGCTATGAACTAAACCCTAGTCCTCAGTAAGAACAGCAAGTGTCTTCACCACTGAGCCAGCTCTCCAATCCCAAACAGTGTGTTTAATAGAGCAGAGCGAGTCTTTCTTACACTCCATCGTTATTGTCATGTGCAGGGTTAGCGTCCTTAGGTAGTATACAGGACATGTGCTTGGGGGATTTTAGACTGTATTCTCCTTTCTGTTATGTCCACTTCAGACAGATCAGTCTACTTCTATGAAAGCAGAGCTGAAGTCTGTTTCCTCTGTCTTGTTTTTGTTGTGATGGTACTGGAAATGGAATGTAGGGCCACAATCATTCGAAGTGCTTTGCAACCACCTCAGCCACGGTGTTTTGTATTGTTTTGTTTATGTTTGAGGTTAGAAAACTTAGAGTTTTAACTTAATTTTATTGTGAGAAACTCACTGAAATACTAAGTTTTCTTTCTACAGCCTATTATTAGCTTCTTTAAGTTTTGGTGTTCTATCATGGTACAATTTGAGTATCCCTATTATCCGAACTCAAACACAACAATACTACAAAATCTGAAGCTGTTTCAGTGCTGCTGTGATGTGATAAGTAGAAATTTCCATGCCTGACTTCATGTAGTAAGTCACACTCAACACAGAGGCACACTAAAGATACTGCATACAATAATCATTAGACAATCTGTATTAAGTATATGTGAGATAAAAATGAATTTCATATTCAAATTTGACTTCCAACCAGAAGATTTCTCATTATTTATATGCAGATATTTCAAAATACAACATCCTTGGCACTTCTGTTAAAAAGCATTGCAGATAAGTAACACTGAACCTGTGGAATGAGATTAGACTCTAAGGCAGGGAGAGTGTAATACCAGTGTTGGAATACCCTCTCAAGTTTAGATTCTAAGTACAGGTGCACAGACTCTGCAAACCTGTAGCCTTCATGCTGACTCCAAGTGTTGAGTTGTTAGCTCAGGACTGATCTTTAGCATGAGAATTGATGAGGGCCCTACACTAAGAGGGTAAAAATGAAGCAGCATCTCCTTCTTGCACATAGCAGTTCTGACAAAGCCCCATGTCATGACCAGCAGCTGAGGTTGTCCTCTAGCCAGGGTCAGGGGAAGGTCAGTGTCTCCTCATCAGGGAGAGGAAGAAGGTACATGGAGACAGCACTGTGCGTAGATTATTTGTGCACCACCAGGAAACCCAGCAAACCTCCACAAGGTGGTTCCTACTCTGAACCCATTGCTAGAGTTGAGAAGCAGCTGTTCTCCAGTCACTGAGGGGCCTCCTGTGGAGTCTCCTTGAGAGCTTGAGTCACAGGCTTTGTGCAGAGCCCTGGCTTAAGTGGACTGCTGCTGAGAAAGGAGGGAAAGGACAGTGGCCCAGCATTGCTGGGCAGAGGAAAACTGGGGAGAGCTGGAGAACTTGTGATCCACAGCTATTCTCATCTCATAGATAAATCCTGTTTCAATACCTTCTTCAACTTCGAGGATATGCAGGAGATCACCCAGCACTTTGCTGTCTGCCACGTGGACGCCCCAGGCCAGCAAGAAGGGGCACCCTCCTTCCCAACAGGGTAAGGCCCTAGGGAAGATCTCTGGGAGGCATGCAGGCCAGAGAACAAACGGGTGAACCGGTTGTAGGGGTCTTGGTGTGTTTCCCTCCCTGTGATGGTATCACACTTACAGGTGGTGCTGCGTGCCTGTCTTTCTGCCCCTGGTCTCAGAAGCCTGTGTGTAAGTGTGTTGAGGACTGTTGTGTGTTTTCACAGAGAGAGGAATGCCTGCCTCTTCCTGGCCAGCACCTATGTGCCTATAGTCCCAAGGCAGAATGTGTCTGGAACACCCACTTCTCACGGACTCTGATCTGTCCCCTGACTCCTTTGTTTTACATTTGTCACATGTGTCTCTTCTAAAGTGCCAAACACATAGGCTGAACCCAGACTCCTTTGAGCTTGCCAGTCTGGGAGAACCTTTCCATCTGAGTTCCCACCTAGAGATGGATTTTGGACACCCGGGAACCATTTACCCTGGAGCCATCTTGACAGGCAAGGGCACCATCTGACTGGCCTTGGCACTCAACATCATCCTAAACTTGTTCTGCATGTCAGCGTCACAGACTCCCAAGTGCCCCCTGGGCAGGGTGCCAATGAGAGCTTTGGAGGGAGGAGGGAGACCTTCCCCTCTTGTGCTTCATTTCCTAGTGACTTCTGGAGCTTAAACATTCCAAAGATAATGGAGAGTCTGCCTCTGCATAGAAGCCAGGCTCTTGCTGTTTAAATGCTTGTTGTTAGCTCCCTTGATCCACAGAACCCTATAGGGTCTGTGTCAGTGTACAAGTAAATAGCTGAGCTGGGATTCCAACCCAAGAAGTCTTGTTACAGAATCTTAGTTGACCTTTCCAATCTGTGTGTCTCTCAAAGACAAGTTGTCATTGGCCCAGGTGACATCCATCAAGATTTTTCCTGACTTGTGCATAAATAGTTTTGAGAACACTCTATCCCTTATAGTGTTTACCAGATAGAGTCTGAGCTCCCTGTTGGTTATAGAGCCCATCCTGCCTCCTTATATAGGAGCCCATTTACTATATACGTACACACACACATACACACACTTACTCTAGTACAATATGTATTATCCTAAGTGAAATAAATGACATTTATTCTGAGGAACCCAAGTTTTATAATGGTGCATAGGCCTAGGAAACTGTGTTTCCTGTTATATTTAAATGCCTAAATATGATTGGCAGACTGCAAGCTACTTCCTGACTTGACTCTTGCTGCTGAACATTCCTGAGCCTGGGAGCGAAGGTTAAGGGTTTGGAAATAGCACATAGGGGGCCATCTAACCAGTTCTCTTCGTATAGCTTCCTCTGGCATAAATACTCCCTTCCTCACATGGCAGTCATGGAGGATTATGGAGCAGGCCACAGTTGTTTCTAGGCACCACATCACTCCTTTGAGCCTTTGGTTTAAAAAAAAAAAAAAATCATGTGTTTCTCTAAGACTCCTGGACTGGTCAAGGTCTCCTAGTGACTGGGAACTGTGGGTGCTTTCTAATTCAGAAGGTGTCCTTCTGGGTTTCAGGTATCAGTACCCCACCATGGATGAGCTAGCTGAAATGCTGCCTCCTGTTCTTACACACTTAAGGTGAGTAGATTCTATAGTCTTCCACTTTCTTCCCCTCATTGCTACAAATGAAACCCAGACTGTCACTCCCAATAAACAGATATCAAAATAAAACAATAGATTATCGTGTTGTTTTATTACTTTATATTCCCTAAATATAAATACAGTGATTCACAAACAGAAGAGTCATCACGTTCGTTGTATTTAGTTGGGACATGGGTGTAGGTGAGAGATCATCACAATAAACGACTTAGACAAAGTAGGCTGGAGTGTATCTCAGTGACAGAGCACATGTTTAACAAGTATTGTGCTCTGAGATTGGTCCTTAGCACCAAGCAATATCAGTACAAAGAGGTCTGTGGCTGTTATGATAGATAAAAGAGCAAGCAGGCTCCTCATAAATGAAGCTCGCTAGGGAATGTCTCTCTGGATAGGTGCCATATAGGCTAGGACAGAGAGCCAGGGAAAAAGAAAGATTAATTAATAAGATCGAGTGGAAGAAAGGCATGTTATAAAGTCTGAGAAACACAGACCAGATTCCATAGGTCTGAAAGATTAGATGAAAGTTGACAGTGTCCTTATTGGTAAAAAGGAAAGACATCAAAGGATTTTTTTTTTTTTTTTTTTTTAAAGATTTATTTACTATGTATACAGTGCAGAACACCAGAAGAGGGCACCAGATCTCATTACAGATGGTTGTGAGCCATCATGTGGTTGCTGGGAATTGAACTCAGGACCTCTGGAAGAGCAGCCAGTGCTCTTAACCTCTGAGCCATCTTGCCAGCCCGACATCAAAGGATTTTAATCCTGGTCTGATACACAAGTTAGACTTTTAAAAGGATTACTGTAGGTATATAAATTATACATTGGTAAAACTATTTAACTTTAAAAAAAAAGGATTGCCGGGCGGTGGTGGCATACGCCTTTAATTCCAGCACGTGGGAGGCAGAGGCAGGTCTGGTCTACAGATTGAGACCCAGGACAGGCACCAAAACTACACAGAGAAACCCTGTCTCAAAAAAACAAACAAACAAACAAACAAACAAAAAGGATTATTCCTCTTCTAGTCATTTGTAAAGGAGTAAAAGCAAAATGCATGGAGACAAGTTAAACAACCACTGTAGTTTAGGAAAAGATAAGGATAGCTTGGTACTTGATTGTGTTAGGGGACAGATTAAAATACATTGTAAGGGCTGAAGAGAGGGCTCAGTAGTTGAGATTCCTGCTCCTGCAGAGAGCCTGAGTTTAGTTCCCAGCACCTATGTTGGGTGACTAACAACTGTCTGTAGCTCCAGCTCCAGGAGAGTCATTTCCCTATTTTGGATTCCACAGGCACATTGCACTCACCCTGCACTTATCCACACATAGATACAGGGTATACATATAATAAATGAAAGCTTATTTATTTTTAAAAAGTTAAAATTATATAAAATGTAAAGTGAATAGTAACTAATGGAAATATTTCTGGGTAGTTTTGACATGAGTTGCTGATGAATTTTGAGGTGATAGTGAAAATGAATTCCAGGTTTGAGGCATATATATATATATATATACAATTTTTGAGACAGCGTCTCTCTTGTAGTCCTGGCTGTCCTAGAACTCACAATGTAGACAAGGCTGACCTGGAACTCACAGAGATCTGCCTGTCTCTGCCTCCCAAGTCCTGAGAATAAAGGTGTGCATCACCACACCCACAGCATATTTCATTTAACTATAAAAGGAAATTTGAAAGTAGGTGGTGTCACCCTTGTTAATATAGGTAAGACACTCTGAGGTTGGAGAAGTTAAAGAAGCTTGTCTAGGAAACTGTGTGAGACCCTGCGTATACACCCAGCTTATATTCTTTCCAAAGGTAGTTGACTTTGTCAATTGTTGATGTGTCCTATTCACAGTCTGAAGGGCATCATTGGTATTGGAGTTGGAGCAGGAGCCTACATCCTCAGCCGATTTGCAGTAAGTACAGGAAGGATTAGTCTCAACTCCTGAGGCAGTGAGTGTGGCGGTCCCAGCTGGGTGCCTGCTTGTGTTGGCTTTGTAAGTTCCAGCTGCTCCAGCCACATGTGTGTGTAGAGGACCTGAAAATCCACACATGAGGACAGAACACTGTAAAGAGACTCAGATGCTGCTTCTGGGGGGATTGTTAAAGCCATGAAAAGTGAGCTTGAGAAGAACTGACACCATAATGTGACAAAAATGTGCACTTTCCTACCAAACCCTATGGAAGGACTCCTGCTGTGACATTCCTCCTGGATCCCAGGAAAGTGGTTTTGGGGGTGGCATTGCCTATTCAGATGGCTTCAGGAAAAACATTTCAGGAGCCCGTGTTGAACCACAGCAGCCCACATAAGCCCCTATGGCAAGTGTTTTAGCACACTTGCTCATAAGGAAGTCCCCCTAGGAGTTGAACCACTGCAGCATGCTCTCCTCTGCTGTAGTAACAGAACTCTGGTCTTCCCTAAGCCCCCATGCAAGGGAAGATGGCTTGACAGCATTTTGAGAGACTGGTTTCCAGGTGCTGGGTCAGATTTCAAGAGGTATTATTGTCTGTAGGTGCTCCAGTCTTCCTTCCAGACAGAGGCAGTGAGGCTTAGCACAAACCTGCTTTAAGAGATTGGAGAGTGGGAGTCTCACACAGTTGTCTCTGTCTCTCTCTCAGCTCAATCATCCAGAGCTGGTAGAAGGTCTTGTGCTCATTAACGTTGACCCGTGTGCTAAAGGCTGGATTGATTGGGCAGCTTCCAAAGTAAGTACTAAATGACGGTGTCCATCTGTTCATTTTCTGGTCCCTTAGAAAATTACCTATTTATGAAGTTTAAAGGAAAATGAGATGTTTTGTTTTGTTGAGTGTTGTGAACTGAATGTGTTATGCAAGCATTCTTAACATCAACCTTCATCTGCAACCCATCACAAAATGTTTATATAACTTACAAATGTTTATACGGGTAATCACTACATAGCCAGTACATAGAATATTTTCAGATCTTCTGCCTTTTCCTGAGAGATACTCTTTGCCAGTTGCTACTTTATTCTGACTTCTATTACCAACAGGTTGGTCTCATGTGTTCTGAAGCCTCATGTAATTGGTATTGTAGATTATATTCTTTTGTGTGTCTCTTCTTCTTCCCCTTATTTCCCCCACCCCCCCCCACCCCCTCACCTGCCCCAGGACTGAACTCAGGGCCTTGGACCTGCTAGGCAAGCACTCTACCACTGAGCTAAATCCCCAACCCCTTCTTCCCCTTATGATTGTAACAACAACAACAAAGAGTTTCCTGCTATTATATTTGTTTCTTCCCTGTGGTATAGGGAATGAGTCCAGGCCATTTCACATGCTAGAGAAGTACTATAATGTTATGCTATACGCCAACTCTTATCATCTTTTTAAAAGTTATAGGTTATAACTTGAATTTCCCTAAGAGGCAGTGACATCTCTGCCTATTTTTGGAATATTCTTGTAAAGTTCCTTTTAAAATTCTCTGCCCTTCTGTGTGAATCCCCATTCAACATAAAAACATTTTACATGTATGGAGCTGGAAAAATGGCTCAGGTGTTAAGAGCACTGGCTGCTATTTTAACCTGAGTTCAATCCCAGCACCGCATGGCAGCTCACAACTGTCTCTAACTCCAGTTCCAGAGATATGATACCCTCACATAGACATACATGCAGACAAAACACCAATGTACATAATGATAAGTAAATATTTTTAAAAATTTTGCATATAAGTCTCCTGCTGGATTCTTTCTTGTATCTCAAATGTCTTAATCTGGCTTGCATTTACTCTCTTAAATAAAATGAATGAATGAATCATATCTCTAGTAAACACAGAAATAGCTCTTCCCTACTGTTCCCAGGGTCATGAGGATTATTAATGTTTACCATATGAAAAATGAAGAAATTTGATCTCTGAAATATGTGCCAGCAGATAGGAAACAAAATAAGTATGCTAATTGTTGGTTTTAATGAGGAGGCGCTGTGTTATTTATTAAGCTGCCCTGTAACTGTGCAAGAACGGCCACAAGGCATGACAAAACCCACCATCAGAGTTTTATTAGGAGAAGAGAGGGACAGAAGAGAGCGTGACCATGCCTGTGGAAGACACGTGCAGAGAGAGAAGATGGGGAGGAGAAGAAAGGGGAGGAGTCTGTGTCCAGCTTCTTATGGAGTCCCCTGCACATGCGCATATGGGCTTCCGGAGCTACACACACATGCACATAGATTGTGTGATCACTCTGTGCACAATTAAGACATCATGCAGCACACCAACTACGTAGGACATAAGGCCCCTTACTTGGCTACTGAACTTCACATGTGCGGTTATGTAGCTGGGGGAGTGGCCAGGAGTTCCAACACTAATGACCTAATGAACATAAAAATCCTCATGCTAAATTAGAGTAAAAGAAGCCGGGCGGTGGTGGCGCACGCCTTTAATCCCAGCACTCGGGAGGCAGAGCCAGGCGGATCTCTGTGAGTTCGAGGCCAGCTTGGGCTACCAAGTGAGTTCCAGGAAAGGCACAAAGCTACACAGAGAAACCCTGTCTCGAAAAACAAAAACAAACAAAAAAAAAAAAAAATTAGAGTAAAAGAGAGATCATGGAAAGGCTTCATATTCTGTTAGCATTGGGTTCTCCTGTGTTAAAACATGATTCCCTGTTTTCAGATTGAAGTGGAAGCAGTCTATTTTCTTCTTGAAGGCAAATGTTATTTCTGTGTTTTAATATAAATCCATGGGTGTTGAAATTAAAGCAGTGATGTTTTCCATAAGAGAAAAAGAACTTAAGCTTTCATTTTCTTATCACCAAGATGACTAATGTAAAATCTCATTTTTAAATACCTGCTTTTAAATACTTTTTGGTTACCGTGAATGTCTTTGTAATTTGTCACCAAAAGACATGTTCTCCAGAGCACTACAACCTCATTGATCACATGTATCAGGGACTCATTGATACTCAAACCCATGACATGTAGTAATTCAGGAGCTGAGAACTTTAAAGAATAGTGATGCAGATTTAAGGGGAGGGTCAATAATGATTTTAAAAGAAATTAACACATATTTAATGCTTACTGTATAGCAGCCACTGTTTTCTTTTTGGCGGGCGTTTCTTGGTTTTTGTTTGTTTTGGTTCTGGTTTTTTGAGATAGGATTTCTTTGTGTAGTCCTGGCTGTCCTGGAACTCCCTATGTAGACCAAAATGGCCTCGAACTCAGAGATCCACCTGCCTTTGCCTCCCAAGTGCTAGGATTGAAGGTGTGTGCCACCATCGCCCAATTTTTTTTTTTTTTTTTTAATGTTTAAACTGTTCTTCTCAGGTTAGCCAAGTCAATTAATAAATTATTTAAGGTCACATAGCGAGAAACTCACCAAGCTAGGATACTTGTAAAAACATTATTTGTAAGACAAAAAGATAGACAAAGTCTAATCACCAAAGAGAAGGTAACAAAAACTTGATACTATAGAATAAAATAGTATATGATCAAAATTTTTTCTTATTTAGGCCTGATGTGAGATGAGGACAGAGTTTGAGGCCAGACTGAGCTATATTGTGAGACCTTGTTTCTAAAACAAACAAACAAAAATATTTTGGCTGTTTGATAAGGAAAATTATAAAATTCTCACATAAAGAGAAACCTATCTGGGCCAGGAATGGTGGTGGCACACGCCTTTAATCCCAGCACTCTGGAGGCAGAGGCAGGCAGATAGATCTTTGTGAGTTTCAGGCTAGCCTGGTCTGTTTTTCAAATTCCAGGTAAATGAGACCCAGCATATATTTTCTTCCTATCACCAGACCAGATTCTGGACAGTCTGTCTGTCCCTCCCCACATTTATTTACATTTGGGGGAATATTGCCTTCCCTAGCTTTGACTCGAGTGTACTAACAATGCTGTTGGCATCTGCTGTGGAATTCTCTTACAGTCGGACTTGTGTAAAATGTGCTCACCTGTCTAGTATAGCACCCCTGCACTTAGATGTGTAACAACCTAGTGACATCTAAGAACACTCTGGGGCTCTGAGCATCAGGAATAGTGCAACACATGACGTGAGCTGGGTGATTAATCTCCTCCTCTTACAGCTGTAGTCTATGGCTCACCTACAGCCCAGGGGTGATTTCAGGCCATCTTTCCTCCTTAATCTTTCACCCATGTCCATGTCTCTCCCTCACCTCCTCCTGCATCCCCACCTCCAACTCAGTGCCTCACCTCCGATCCAAGTCCTCAGTAGGAATTCCATCTAAAGCCCAGGAAGAAAGCTTAAAGGGGAATTGGCAAGATCATTTGAGCTGGAGATGTTTCTGAAAATAGACTGTCTCCAGATTTACACAGATTGCTGCATTTATTAGATATGAGATGCATCATTTTGAAATGGGAAGAACTGGGAGAAAAAAATGTTCAAAATGTGAGAACATTCTGTAAATATAGCTATTCCTCCCACTGCCTGAAATAAAGATGGCTAAAACTGGAAGGAATTTTTTTTCTTTGTCTCTTGCATGTCTTGGGCGGGATTGTAAGTGGATCTCTACCTGCCATCAACCCAGTGTAGATGCAGAAATAGGGGCAGGCATGAAGCAGCAGACTGCCATGAGTCTCAGGACTCAGAGTTTTGAAGGAATGGCCATTATTCCTTCCAGCCCTATTTCAAAGCAAGCTCTGCTCATACCATGGAAAGAATACTTAGTTTTTTCCTTATATTTTCCCTTTTTTTCACATTTCTTTGAAATGATACTGATCTGTGTTTTTGATTTGCTTTTGAAAGATAATATGTGTAAAGTACACCTTCCTTTAGTGAAGAGCCATGAAAGGCTCACATATGCTCACTCTCCTAACACAGTTTTTATCTTGTAGCTCTCAGGCTTGACGACCAACATCGTGGACATAATTTTGGCTCATCACTTTGGGCAGGTAAGCACCTGTGCAGCCTGAAGAGCTGGGTTTACTGGCTTGTGTGCAAAGCTTTGTTGTGCTTTAGGAAAGAACGAGGTACCTTGCAATCTACTGGATCCTGTAGTCAGAACGGCATGTGGCCCTGCAAAGGCCAGGCCTATGGGAGAGGTTTCCCTTAGCCTCAGGGATCTTGGCACTTGGAGAGTGACAAAAATCAGCATCTCCCTCACCTGTCCCCTGTAAGCAGAATGCCATCTGTGAATGTTTGACAACACCAGTGCCTCACCAGACATCTTTAGAGCCATCAGGAGGTTTAGGAAAGGCTTCACAGAAGTACAGATTTCAGAAGAAGAAGAAGAAAAGTAAAGAACTCAGAAATGTTATTGTGAGGGGAGCTTAGAGATGATCTTATTCAGCCCTCAGGAACTGATGGACACTGAAATCTCCAGCAGGGGTGACTGTGGTCCTGTGGATAATTGTTGGTGGGGATTTGCCTCCTGTCCTGTTTTCAAAGGAAAAGTGAGTGATGGAGAAACTGAGCAGTGAGATCAAGAGCTGTGAGGTGCCTGGAGTGTGGAGGAACAGTTACAGCGAGGGGTAAAGGCTGGTCAGCCTGCGTACCTAATTCTAAAGACGCCTATAGGAACATGGAAGGTTAGAATAGATCGAGTTGGTATTACCTACTGCTTATGTATGAATTAAGTGTTTTATCTTGTGTGTATAGTGTAAGCCTGTGTCCTCTGGATAAACATCCAATGCTTTCAACCACTGAACCATCTCTCCAGCACCTTTGGCTTTATTTTAAGATAGGGAAACAAAGGGCAGAAACACAGCATAATATTCCACCATTGTCCACACGGAAAATAATGGAGCGGACCTTTGATTCAAAGTCCAACTCCAAAGTAATAGTCTTTCCTTCATTGTTTTCTTTTATTTCATCGCATTTTATCAGTGTAACAAATTTACTTTTATTTTAGAGAAAGGAGCTTATACAGGCTTATTACAGAAAATCTGCAACCCATCTCCTTTCCTGCCTCTTCTAGGCAGTCACTCTTTAAGTCTTCTGATCCCTCCCTCTCTTGCCTCTGAGACAGTGCCTTATGCCCAGGCATGGCCTCAAACTGGGATCCTCTTCCTCTGCCTTCCAAGTGCTGGGATTTTAATCTCATTCTTTTGTTGGTGGGTGGCCTCCATCCTATTGTTTTATTAATAAAGGAGACATAATTCACATGTACTGCAATGCACACACTGTAAGTGCATGTCTCTGACCTCTGTCCTATGTATTCATATGTAGCTACCATATATATGATTGTGTAGAATATTTCTATCAGCCAAAAAGGTTCTCTTGTATTCTTCCGAGTCACTAATCCCCCTAAACAAAGTACCCACTATTCTATTACCTCTCTTCTTTACTTTGCCTGTTTTTGAACTTGAAATAAGTAAAATCATAGTGTATAGTGTCTGGGCCTGACATTTTTGGCTCTATGTAACTGTCCTTAGTATATGCCATTCCATATACCAGTTGGTGCCCTCATTTGACACAGAATATGGAACTGAACTATGGATGAGGCAAATAAAAAAGATGTTAGCCATTCAGTGTATCTGTGCATTAGTAAATCCTAAGCTCCACCCCAAGTCCCCTCATGAGCAGAAAGGCTATTGCCACTGAAAATACAAACCAAATAAGATGGACTTGTTCTGCAGCCCAGTTTACTGGTGTTTTCTTTCACTTATTCTAGGAGGAACTGCAGGCCAATTTGGACCTCATTCAAACCTACAGACTGCACATTGCCCAAGACATCAACCAAGAAAATCTCCAGCTCTTCCTCGGTTCCTATAATGGGTAGAGTTGTTTCTCATTCCTTCAGTTAACTGTGTAGTCCAGCTCTAAAATCTGCGTGACTTCTAAGAAAGCGGAGAGGAGAAATAATCTACTGCCATTGTTGTATTGCCTGTGCTGTTTGACCATTCTAGGGTGGAAGAGCTATAAGACCGATTTTAGAAAGAGCTTTAAAGAAGTAAACAGTGAGTTCTAAAAAGAGTTGTAGTTTCTAGGTTGTCCTGAGGGAGAAAAAAGAAAGCTAACTTACATATATTCAAGAAAAGCAAATAATCATGGGGACCTGAAGGGAAGCACATGTAGGAAGACACTGAAGAGAACACTAGGGCTTGATTTTGATTCTGTTTGCTGATATCTCATCATGAAGCAGACAGAGTAACATGTGGATGTAAGTCAACTCCTTTTTCCTTGAGTGTTTCAAACTTTACTTTCCTGTCTATTCCTGTCGGAGGGCAGGCTGAGGAGAGAGCACTGGTTCCTACCCTAGTGGTAGTTTTCCAAAGAGGGAATGTGGTGGGAAAGGCTGCATTTGTCAGCTCTGAGTTTCAGAGTTACACACCCAGTAAAGTGCAATGCTAAATTCTGAATCTGGTCTGGAGAGCTTTCCTGCTTTTAATTGAAATGAAAAAGGTAAGAGCTCTATGCAAAGCTATTGTAAATATAACCCTCTTCCCAAATAAAAGTATGCCATTCCCTCCTCCTAAGGGGCTCATTCCTACAGACCATTTGGAAAATTCGTTAGACCTGAGGACTTCAGTATTGCTCTTGTTTGAGTTTTAAAGTTCTCCCCCTTTTTAGCATCCCATAAAATCCCTGTTCCTGCTCTCTAGCATGCAGGGTGCCATGGAAAGAGCCTCAGGAGAACGCTCAGGGCCCTTCCATCCTCAGGTGTAAAGAAAAGACCTAGACTGTCATACTCTGGATTACATGTCCAGAAAACACATGAAGGGCCATGATTTTCCTGCAAATGACACTGATTCTGCTTGGTTTGTCTAGACGCAGAGACCTGGAGATTGAAAGACCTATACTGGGCCAAAATGATAACAGGCTGAAAACATTAAAGTAAGTCCTGAGTCTCCCCACCGAATGGCTGTGTATCTGCCTGTCATGACGAATCCATTGTCCACAGTGTTTGTGCTTACTTGCTGACTGACTCCTCCTCTTCCTCGTGTTCCTAGGTGTTCTACTTTACTGGTGGTGGGGGACAATTCACCTGCTGTGGAGGCCGTGGTAAGTATGTCCTGCTGTGAGCAGGCTGGGATTGAAGTGTAGTCAAATGTATGTGGCAGGCACACCGCTGACAGTGTGTCATGGAAACATGACCACATGGGGTCATGCTGTATCTAATTGCACCTACCAGGTTTTACTGTTACCTGTTTTGAAAATAATTCCTCAGCTGTCACCAGGTCTCATCAGATTGATTAGTGTGGGTCTTGACAGTGTGCTGCTGTCCATTCTGTGGCAGTTATTGTCAGATTTTCGGCACTCAGCCTTCCACTTATGGGAAGTTAACCACCACAAACTCAGCAAATAAGAAGGTTGCAGAGGGCCTGTAACGCTTTTTCTTGTGTTGACTTAAGTAGCATGTTCGTTTATTTTTTAAAGGTATAGTTTAGCCAAATATCTTATTTCCACACTCCCTTTTTTTGAGAGGAGGGGTCTCATCCAAAACACAGAGTAGACACTCCTCTAATCACCCAGTTAGACCTGACTCCCTGGCCAGAGCCCCATATGCCTCTGGTGGTGGAGACCTGAGAGGTGGCCCTGGGACGATCCAGGAGAAGCTCCACAGGTGCTAGTTCAGGATTGACACCTGGCTTTGTTCACTAAGTCAGCATCGTTTTGAGCATCCCCTATTTGTTCAGGGCTGAGGAGTAACAGACCTATTTGGGGATTTGGAAAATGCATAGATGTGTCAGAGACCAGTGACTGAGGCTGGGAATGTAGCTCAAGGCAGAGCACTCACATGTAAGGCCCTGGGTTCAGTCTCCGGCCCTGCAAGAAAACACACTGGGCCCTGGTGATTGTGCTTAGTTAAACATGGAAACACGGTCAATTGTATGAATTACAAAGTAGTAGATAAAGGACAGCATGCTTTATTATGCTAAATCCAGACATGGAAATTGATTTCTTAGAAAATATTTATACCTTATCCACTATATTCCGAGCACTGTGACTAGCCATTAGATACCCATTTTAAAATTCTACCTGTAGAATCATTGCCTACGCTATCGAAAAATGGTGCATTTATCACAACCTGCATTGTCATTCACATAGAGCAAATTAAACCTCTGATTGATCTTGGCTTTTAGATCACCTCCTGATTTTAGAGGAGTTTTGTATACCTGCCCATCAGCAATCCCAAGATCCAAAGTTCACCTGGATTGCTGATTCTTGCCTAGGTAACTAGAGCCACTCCCGACGGGCCCACTGCCTCTTCAGTATGCACACATGCCACTGCCCTGCTAACCACTCAGACCTTGTCACCTCAGAAACCCTCTGCCTTCCACAGTGAGCTCCAGTCTGCCCTGACTTTGCCTCTGTGCATCTGCACTTGACACTCGCCACTCTAGTGACACGGGAACTGCACGACCTTCCTTTCTCTGCCTCCGGAGTCCCCAGACACCCACCTTTCCTTCCTGTCTATCTCTGCCTTTCTCTGCCTCCGGAGTCCCCAGACACCCACCTTTCCTTCCTGTCTGTCTCTGCCTTTCTCTGCCTCCGGAGTCCCCAGACACCCACCTTTCCTTCTTGTCTATCTCTGCCTTTCTCTGCCTCCGGAAGTCCCCAGACACCCACCTTTCCTTCTTGTCTATCTCTGAAAATCCTACCTGGCTTTCCATGTGCTCATTCCACACAGCTGTGAAGTTTTCTTTTGTGGTATATATTCCACAGATATATATTATCACAGGTTTTATGTGTATATTCTTTTTTTTTTTTTTTTTAGTGTTTTTTTTTTTTGGTTTTTCGAGACAGGGTTTCTCTGTGTAGCTTTGTGCCTTTCCTGGAACTCACTTGGTAGCCCAGGCTGGCCTCGAACTCACAGAGATCCGCCTGTCTCTGCCTCCCGAGTGCTGGGATTAAAGGCGTGCGCCACCACCGCCCGGCTTATGTGTATATTCTTAGAAAACAAGGGAAAGCTGTTTGATTGAGTGAGCCATAAACTATTGTCCTTTTAGAGATGGAGGTATATAGCTCAGTGATGGAGCATGTGCTCCAAGATTATCTTCCCAAAATATTTTCTTTGAGGTCCCTGCCTTCATAGATAGGATACAAGATCCCATACATGGAGATGTACCAAGCTGTCATCCCTGATTTTGCTGACCATTGCAAGGGAACAGTCACAGAAGAATTCAGCTTCACACTGGGGAGCCAGAGACCTTGAGGCAGAAGAGTCAGTGGTTGGAGGGGGTGCTGTGGGATGGTCTGTATGTCAAATGTGTTGCTGATTGGTCAATGAATAAATCACTGATTGGTCAGTGGCCAGGAAGGAAGTATAGGCGGGACTAACAGAGAGGAGAATTGAGAGAACAGGAAGCTGGGTGAGAGAGACACTGCCAGCCGCCATCAGGACAAGGAAGTTGTAAAGTACCGGTAAGCCACAAGCCACGTGGCAAGGTCTAGATTAATAGAAATGGATTAATTTAAGCTGTAAGAACAGTTAGCAAGAAGCCTGCCACGGCCATACAGTTTGTAACCAATATAAGTCTCTGTGTTTACTTGATCGGGTTTGAGCGGCTTGGGACTGGCAGGTGAGAGAGATTTGTCCTGACTGTGGGCCAGGCAGGAAAAGTCTAGCTACAAGGGGGCAGCCCTCCACTCTAGGCAGGAGGGACTGAGCAGGGAGGTGGAGGCAATGCGCAGGCCCAGCTGATAGGCCATTGGTGCTAGGACAGCATGGAGGAGATCCCAGCAGGACAGGGCCACAGTCTTCTTTGTCTCTCAGAGAAGGAATGTCACAGCCAGCAGGAAAAGCCTTTAGATTCAACATGTTGTTCATTAAAAGACTGAAAGCATCAGAAAAGGAAATGGCAAAATTTTAGATGAACTCTGAACCATCAGACAAACACGTGACATCTAATCTCTTTGGCTTATAAGATCACTGGGATGGTAATTCTAGCAATTTATAAAATTGTTTTGTTTTTTTCAGGTTGAATGTAATTCTCGCCTCGACCCTATAAATACAACTTTGCTAAAGGTAATGTGTCTTCTTTCACAGCCAACCATTTGTGATAAATGGGAAACGCTTCAACTCTGTGTTTTCATGCAGAAAGGATAATTCTCTTCCCTCTGCTCATGGGCACTTGTGTTCTCTCTCTCTCTCTCTCTCTCTCTCTCTCTCTCTCTCTCTCTCTCTCTCTCTCTCAGAATAAGAAAAATATATTAATTACATTTATGTATTTATTGGTAGTAGACACCATGTGCCAAGACACACAAGGACAAGTTACAGAAGTCAGTTCTCTCCTTCCACGACATGGGTCTCAAGGATGGGACTCAGGTTGTCAGGGTGGGCTGCACTGGCTGCAAGCACTTTTATCCTCTGAACCCTCTCACCAGCCCAAAGAATGTATTTTCTAAATTCTCATATATTTTCTAAATTCTCATATCTTGTCCACTAAAAAAAAAATATATTGTAAAATACTAGTGTCTTTTTTCCCTATATGTTTTTAGATCATAAGATCAGAGGAGCTGGAGGTCTGAGCATGGTGGTACATGCCTTTAATCCCAGCACTCAGGAGATACAAGTGTGTCTCTGCCTGGGCTACATAGAGTACCCTGTCTGGGAAAAAAAAAAAAGAAGAAGAAGAAGAAGAAAGAAAGTTGGGATGGTGGCCTGTGCCTAATAATTCCAACTGGTAGGAGGCTAAGGCAGGATTGCTGTGAGTTTAAAGCCAGCTTGAGCTATATAATGAGTTCAGGCTATCCTGAACTACAAAACAAACAAGCAAATAAAGATTAGAAGATATTTATAGCCCTATATTTGTTTTCCTCCATTTATGTCATAAACATTTAGTGAACGTACAAAATTACAAGAACTAAGGTAGTATTGGGAATGCTTTATATCCTGAGTCTTGTTGTATTTTTAAGGAAACTTCTAAGAATTTCTTAATGATAAGGGGTACATTTTTTTCTCTTCGGCCTCCTTGGACTTGTTAAAAGTTTCCAGATTATCAAGATTCACCCTCGACGGGTGATGACAGTGCACACCTTTAATCCCAGCACTTGGGAGGCAGAGGCAGGTGAATATATGAGTTCAAGGCCAGCCTGGTCTACAGAGTGAGTTCCAGGACAGCCAAGTCAGAGAAACCCTGTCTCAAATAAAAAATTCGCCCTCATGAAGTGTCCCCTACAGAAGCTCTGGCTGAGTGTTGTCAGAACTGGAGTCTCTGCTCACGTGTTTGGGGAACTGGCCTGCTGCTCTGCTGCCTCTCTCTGTCTCCCTCCGCATGACTCCTGCCTTCTTCCGTCTCTCTCAAGTGTGTGTGAAGGGCAAGCACGGTCACCAGCAGCAGCATTAGTTCTCAGAACACACTTAGTGCTTGGAGGTGCGCGACTCACAGTGCTCTGGACTCCCCATGATGGGTGGCCTTCTCCAAAATACAGATAAAACAATTTATGGTTTCAGATTTAATTTTTACAAAGTATGGTGGTGTGTGTCTCAAAAATCAGACTTGGGAGGCAGAGAACCAGGAGTTGAGTTCATCCTCAGCTACATGCCAAGTTTAGGCCAGATTGGGCTTCATGAGACTCTAGCTCACAAAACCATGGGCCAGCTAGATGGCTCCACAAGTAAAGACACTTGCTGCCAAGCATGATGACCTGGGTTTGATCCCCAGGTCTCTCATGGTAGAGGAGAACTGACCCCCACCAGAGGCTTTGACCTCCACACACACCAGGCAGGATATGCATACACACACACAAACCTAAGAAATGCAGCTTTTAAAATTTAATGAAAACTAACGGGCTGGAGAGAAGGCTCGTTGGTTAAGAGTGCATCCTACTCTTGAAGAGGACCCAAGAGAGGAACCAAAGTTCCCAGTACCCATGTCCCAAGGCACATAGCTGCCTGTAAGTCCAGCTTCAGGGAATCTGATACCTCTGACCTCTGCAGGTAACCCGCACTCATATGCATAGACATAAATGTAATTTTATTTTATTTTTTAAAGATTTATTTTATTGTTATTTTTAAATACATTAACGGGTGTGTGTGTGTGTGTGCGCGCGCGCGTGTGTGTGTGCGCGTGTGTGTGTGTGCGCGCGCGCGTGCGCGCATGCTTGATGGATGTGAGCCCCCTGGACGTGAGCCTCCTGACAGGATGCTGGGAACCAAACTCTGGAAGAGTAGTAGCAAGTGCTCTTAACCAATGAGCTCATACATGTAGTTTTGTGTGTGTGTGTTTCTTGTTTGTCTGTTTTTTGAGACAAGGTCTCACTATGTAGCTCTAGCTGACCTGGAGCTTACTATGTAGACCAGACTCACTTTGAACTCAGAGATCTGCCTACTTCTGCCTCCTGTGTGCTGGGTCTAAAGTTGCGCACCACCATGCTTACCCATACATACACATAATTTTAAATGAAAAACTCAGTTGTCAAAGAATAAATAATATTTTTTTAAAGAAAGAAAAACTCCAATTAGTTTTCCACTGCAGTAGCCATGAAGGTTTATTTCTGGACACACACGCCTATTCACAATAGCCTAGAGCAGAGGAGACGTCTCCTGTGGCAGATGGAACAGATACTCAAAAGTATCTGATGGCATCGATGTGTGACATAGTTTTTCTTGGGCTAGGGATGCACTTCAGAGGGTACCTAGTGTGTATGAGGTCCCATCATTGCAAAAAAGAAAATATATGTAGTTTTCCCACATTCTCTGCATGTAGGGCCTGTTTTATGGTTCTAATCAATCATGTGTTTGGTTTATTTTTATTTTGTTTCTTTTTCTAAATTTTTTTTCGGGGTTGTTTTTGTTTTTTTTGTTTTTTTTTGATTTTTCAAGACAGGGTTTCTCTGTGTAGTTTTGGTGCCTGTCCTGGATCTCGCTCTGTATACCAGGCTGGCCTCGAACTCACAGAGATCCGCCTGCCTCTGCGTCCTGAGTGCTGGAATTAAAGGCGTGCCCCACCACTGCCCAGCTTCTAATTTATTTTTAAATTATTCTTTGACAGTTTCAGGCATTTATTGTTTTGGTTTTGCTGTTGTTAATGGGTTTTGTTTTGTTTTGTTTGAGATAGGGTCTCTCCAGATAGCCCTGGCTACTGGAACTCATTATGTAAACCAGACCAAACTCACAGAGATACACCTGCCCCTGCCTCCAAAGTGCTGGGATTAAAAGCGTGCACTACCACGCCTGGCTCAGACATGATATTTTCTGGTCACACTCTTCTCCCTACCCTTTATTATGTCTCTGCCATACCCATAAGCCCCCCCCCCCCATATCCCAACAAGTCCCCACCCCACTTTCATGGTTTTTTTTTTTTTTTTTTTTTTTTTTTTTTTTTTTTTTTACTTTGTAACCCACTGGGCTTGACCAGGCCATCCATCCACATGGGCATGTGGAGCTATGGAGCTAGCCACTGGAGCGTGAGTAAGTCACCAGTGCCCACACCACCAAAAACAGTGACTGCCTCTCCACCAGCAGCCCTTCAACTCCCCTTCTTTTCTTTTTCTTCCTTCCTTCCTTCCTCCTTTCCTTTCTTTCTTTCTTTTTTTTTAGAAACAGTAGCTCTCTGTATAGTCAAGACTTGCCTGGAACTCACTATATAACCTGGGTGGCCTTGCCCCAGATGTACAAGGCTTGCATTTTAGGCATGTGCAACAATGTCTTACTTCTAACCAGTTTTTAGCTTCTAAACTTTGCAAAAATCTCAGCCCATACTAGTTTGGTCTGTTTTATATTTGTGAGGTTAAATGGTTGCTTCTCATGCTTGTTTTTCTCAAATTGTTCCTTCTTAACCTCAAATTCTTATGCTTTCTGTGGTATTCTCCTGTCTTAAATAATGTCTCCCATTTAAAGAAAGTGTTAATTCCAGCAATGAAACAGGGATTCATATAGGTTGGTTTTTTGGTTTGGTTTGGTTTTGGTTTTTTAAGACAGGGTTTCTCTGTGTAACAGCCCTGGCTGTCCTGGAACTCACTCTGTAGACCAGACTGACCTCAAACTCAGAAATCTACCTACCTCTGCCTCCCAAATGCTGGGATTAAAGTTGTGTGCCACCACTACCTGGCTGAGGATTCATATAGCTTTAAATCATTATTTTATTTTATGTGTATGAGTGTTTTATATGTGTGTGTGTGGTGTGTGTGTGTGTGTGTGTACACCATGTGCTTGGCTGGTGTGAGGTCAGAAGAGGGTATCAAATGCTCTAGATCTGGAATTATAATAGTGAGCTGCCATGTGGGTGCTAGGAATTGAACCCAGGATCTCTGGAAGAACAGCAGGTACTTGCTGTAACTACTGAGCCATCTCTTAGACCCTTCATATCCCTTTAAATAGAGGCAAGTCAGCCAAGTAGCCTCTCTCTGAGGTCAGATCACATCAGCGGGAAGGAGTACATTGGTTTCTGTTGGGCAAACATGCAATGGGAACAGTCTTGAGCGCAGGCTGGCAGCTGCTACGTCTCTATCGCAGTGTTAGAAATGCGAGTTCTCCAGCCTCATTGCAGAATCCTGGGGTAATATCTAAAAGTCAGGAGTAAACAGGGAATTCCAGTGCACACTAGCAAAGCTCTGAGACTGCGTGATGAAAACCCTTCAAACGTAAAGAACAGTACCACCAGATCCAGCTTGGGGAGGGTATAGACAGGTCTCCACTCCTTGTGGCATCACACCCCTTTGTCATGAAAACAATGAAGAGATGAAGGGAATTATAAAGCAGGCATGGTGACACATGTCTGTGCCCAAGTACTTAAAGGCAAGAAGTGGAGGACTAAGCAACACAGGAAACCCTGTCCCTGACCTCTTAGTAGAAAAACAGGACCTTACACAGCAGAAAGCATTGAGACATGGAAGCATATTGTTTGAGGACTGTGAAAATAAGCTTCTTTGGACACAAGCAGAGCCAGGATGGAAGTTGTATCTGATAGCACTGTCAGCCTAACAAGAAACACCTGCATAGTCCTGAAAGCCAGGCCTGACAGCCTGGGAATGAAGAGCAATGGATGTCTCTCTCAGGTTTCAGTCCAAGGGTATTACCAGCATCAAGACTGCATAGAGTGCACTGAAGTGATGCAAAGATGGATGCAGTTGAGCATCAGGGAGACCACAGTTCATTCCTGACCCTTTCTATGTAGCCCTGACTGTCCTGGAACTCGCTCTGTAGACCAGGCTGGCCTTGAACTCACAGAGATCTGCCTGCCTCTGCCTCCTGAGTGCTGGGATTAAAGGTGTGCGCCATACTGCCCAGCCATTCCTGACCTCTTTGAAAGGCCTTGGGATGCTGAGAGCATTCCCCTTAGTGGAGGTCCTGCTGACTTAGGTGTTCTTCCTCTTCTAGATGGCAGACTGTGGAGGACTGCCCCAAGTAGTTCAGGTAAGAAAGCACTCATAATAACTACATTCTCTCTCTCTCTCTCTGTCTCTCTCTGTCTCTCTCTGTCTCTCTGTCTCTCTCTCTCTCTCTCTCTCTCTCTCTGTCTCTCTGTCTCTGTCTCTGTCTCTCTCTCTTCTCATTGCTACCTCTCTACTTAGGTACAAATTAATGCCTTCTTTGTTTGTTCCCCCAGCCTGGGAAGCTCACCGAGGCCTTCAAGTACTTTTTGCAGGGAATGGGCTACAGTGAGTAGTATGTTTTCTATTTAGCAGAAATTTATGGATAATAGGATACATTTACCATCTGGGAGACCACAAGTCTCAGGACATAGCCCATCTGCTAGTCAGCCTTTAAGTAGAAAACAAGAGAGTATGGAGCGTTCACCCATCTGTGCATGTGTTTAAGTTAGAATGACAGCTAATATATATCCTCAGACTAAGGTAATTCTTTTTCTGTTTGTTTGTTTTGTTTTGTTTTTCAAGACAAGGTTTCTCTGTGTAGATTGGCTGTCCTGGAACTCACTCTGTAGATCAGAGTGGCCTCAAACTCAGAGATCCACCTGCCTCTCCCTCCTGAGTGCTGGGATGAAAGGCATATGCCACCACACCTGGCTCTGAGAAGTGATTTTATAGCATACTGAGGCTCCAGAATGTTTAGCTTGCCTCCTGGGGAAACCAACCATAAGCAACATAGCCATGATTGAAATCTCAGAAGTCTGACCAGGCCCACATTAACCACTGAAGCTTTGGCCGCCTTAGCCATGAATTAGATCTTGTGATTTATATCTGAATCCAGCAGGTTTTACCTGGCCCACAGAACGTAGTAGATACTCCAGGAGAAAAGGACAGTGTCCTTTGTGAAGTGTGTTCTGCCGTGAGATAAGCTGGTAGTGTTTCCAGCACATCCATGTCATGCATGTGCTGCTGTATTGGGCTCCTACTTCTTCCTCCCCTGAGCTTTCTCCTTTGTCACAGAAACACTCACTTCTCTCGGGGAAATAAATAAATACCTTTAGCCCCAGACAGAGCTCTTTACCCAGCAAGCAGGTTTTCCATCTTTGGTGTCCATTCGATAATGACCATTGGCGAGCTGCCTCGGAAGCTGGGCCCTAGGTTCAGACCTGTAGCTTCCAGGAAGACCATGTGTGTCTTGTCTAGAGTGGCTATGTTGTCCCTGTCTGTGAGCTACTACCAACCGAGCCCACACACATGGCCCTCTGGCTCACCAGGAGGAGAAGTCCTCTCCTAGCCTAGTCTCATCCTCTCTCCAGAAAAATACCTAGTTATGCAGCTGACTTCTAAACCAGGGTAGGTAGGGTGCCTACCTGTAGAGTGAGGATGGAATAGCTTCTTTTGTCTGTTTAGAGAAGTGACGTTAAAGGTGGTGCTTAAGCACCAATGCTCTTCTCTAGGACCTTGAGAGAAACTTTCATCCCTGGCTCAGTATCCTGTCAGCATCTTCTAGGCAGCCAAAGTTGTCACTTAGCTCTTGTGAGTCACTAACCTGCCTTTTCCTGTGTCCATCCTGCTTCCAGTCCCGTATGTGCAGCTCAGTCACCTCAGCAGCGAGTCAGGTACCTTCCTGTGCTGGCCCTGCCCGCCTCCCAACCATGCTCTTCCTGCTGCATTGGCTGCCTGCAGCATGTCCGCGATTTCCCTGTGCAGTGAGAGCCCGATAGAACAGGGCTCAGTGTGTTCTAAGAGTTGACCCTGCAGATCAGGCCTGGTCCTGTAAGAAAAGAGGATTCTACTGAACTGCAGGCCTCCTCTCGGTCCTCAGCCAGGGTGACAGTGGCAGCTAAAGCACAATTCGGGGAGGGGATCCCCACCACCACCTATTTCCTAATCCGTGAAGTGAGCCCCAGACAGGAATCAAAAGGGCCTGCAGCCTTGACTCTAGGTAGAAGTGTTAGCATCTGTGTCCAGAGACCACCACAAAGATGGAATGACAGCAGGGACAGTGACTGATGATCCAGAATAATAGGCAGTGAGTTATGTCAGGTAAAGCCCTGTCCAGGCCATGCTGAAATTAAATGATCTTAGAGTCAAACTAGTAACAGTAACAAAATAGGAGTCTAAATTAAACAACCCCAGAGTCAGTCCCCTCTCAACCCCTGACCCCCAACAGCCTGTACCTCATCCCTGGATAGTCATGAGCTCCAGAACACCTTCCCTCCTCTCTACCCATCTGTGACTCCTCCCCAGAGGGCAACAGTAGCCTGTGGACACGGACGGTAGTCTTGTTGTATCGGGCTTGCACTGTGTTTGTGAAATACCTTCCTACTTGTGTGGTTTGTCATTCTTTCTTTGGTTTAGTCTTGCATGCACTGCAGGTTTTGGTCACCAGTATGTGTTCCCAAAGCCACCTTCCTAATCACTGTATGAATGGCGTGGTGCCAAGCTAAGAGGCTTTACTCCGCGCTTAGGGTTTCCCATCGTACTCTGAAGTAGAATCTGGGGAGAATCGAGATGGAGGGGATCAAAGCAGCCTTGCATACAGCCACTCACCTGGAGCAAATAGTGCAAAGTGGGGGTACCTCTTCTGTCATCCTGGGCGTCATCTTAGGTGGGCTAGAAAAGGTAGAGTCTTTGGTGAAACTTGTAGAGTACCAGAGCTTCACTGAACTCCTAATATCCTGCTTCTTTATTACAGTACCGTCTGCCAGCATGACCCGGCTCGCCCGATCACGAACCCACTCCACCTCGAGTAGCATTGGCTCTGGAGAAAGTCCCTTTAGCAGGTCTGTGACCAGCAATCAGTCAGATGGAACTCAAGAATCCTGTGAGTCCCCTGATGTCCTGGACAGACACCAGACCATGGAGGTGTCTTGCTAAGCAGATGCTACTCCCTGGACCATGCAAGTCCCTCCTCCTTGAAATGACCACTCCATAATAGAACATTTCATCCTGTCAGCTGGCCTCCACTTTCACTCATGCATGGCCACAGAACCTTTCTCTAATAGCCTGGACTTCCCATTCTCTCCACACACCCCTTTTTGTATATACCAAGAACCACACCCATGCCATTACTGTAACATTCCAAATCTTGATCCGATCTGATCTCCATATCTTCTCTTGCCAGCCTTTCCCTATGCTCCCTCAAATATGTACGTGACGAGATTCTTTGATTCCCAACTCCATGTGTGTGCGAGCACGCGTGTCTGTGTCTGTGTGTGCATAGTTCTGTGATTTTAGACATGCTTTCTTGTAGCGCTTCTGCAAAGGGACTTTTTTGCATTCTCAGTGGCATTTTAAAGGGAAATATGCAGAGCAGATATCTGGATGGCTTGGACCACAAGATTGGATTTTGGTTCCACTTGGACAATATTTGCAGTGATTTCAGGAAAGAGCAGGTCTGAGGGATGTGGGGACTGTAGTTACTGTGTGGACCATTGATTAGCTGTGACCAGTAAGAGTCACCTGTTACACAGATAGGCAAGGTGGCAGTCACCTTCCTTGTCCAAGTGGATTCATACGTACCATTGTATAAGTCAGAAGGAGGGATCTGAAACCCATAAATGATGTCTGTACACCATGGAGTTTTCTCCAAAGAATTGGCCTAAGCTCTAGATCAGCCAAGGAAGATGGAAAACAAAACACCAGGCTCCACTCTGCAGACAGAAGTGCTGTCCCTGTAGCATCTGATACCACTTCCCAGACACCCACACATCTGCAGGAAGTGCCTCCCAGGTCTGGATGGAGAGTGGTTCTCCATCCCTCTGTCCCATAGAAGGGGACAGCATGATTTAAAATGACATCGATGGTGAGGGTCTTAATGGGGTAGAGGAGAAATCATTAACACATTACCATGATAAGTATGTGTAGCCTAGGTTTCAACAAACATTAATGGAAACCAAGTCACACTGAAGTGGAACCCATTTCTGGGAAAGTTTTAAGCGTGCAGTGTCCCTTTATAGGAGGGAAGGGGACAATCTCAGGGCAGCCCTGTCCAAGTTGTCGTGAGGGATCATACCAGCCAGGGAGACCCTCTGGAAGGAAGCTGCCACACAGCAAGGACTCTTCTCTTGGAAGTATCCAGATGTGAGCCCAGCCAGGATCATGTGGTTCCAAATCTGAGGAAGAGGTTTTTCACACACGCCTTGCTTTCTGCTAAGATAAGGAAGGTGTCACTCTGCCAGAGTGTGACTTTTTACAGATTAAATAAAGCTGTATATGTCTCATTGTTCCCTGGCTGCTGGTGTCATTTCTGCAAGCGACTCTCTAAAGGCTTGGGCTGGGAATGAGGTTTTTTTACTGGGTCTGGACTGTGCATTTTCTTGTCTATAATTACTTATCCCATTCAGTGATACTTAATAGAGGGAGGACTGGGCACTTTAGAATAATGTGTTTGAGGTATCACAGCCAGTAAGGGCATACTATGCTGAATTCCCCATCTACCTGACATGCCCAGGTCCCCTCAAAACTCCTAAGAAGCTGACAATGCTATTCTTGATGAGAGGGAACTAGAGTCTGAGAAAGCTTGTCCATATCTTACATTTCATCATCTCTATGGAATTCCTGGTTCTATCATGTGATAATTTACAACCACTTTCCTGGGTTCTTCTTAAAATAGCAGGCTATAGGCCGGGCGGTGGTGGCACACACCTTTAATCCTAGCCCTCGGGAGGCAGAGCCAGGTGGATCTCTGTGTGTTCGAGGCCAGCCTGGGCTACAGAGCAAGATCCGGGACAGGCACCAAAACTGCACAGAGAAACTCTTGAAAACAAAGATAGCAGACTGTATTTTGTCAGAAGCTGCTGTGTTTACGCCCTCTAAGAATAGTTTGAGAAGCCCACCATCTTGTAAAGGGTAGAAAGAATGGTCCACTCTGGGACTGGAAGAGAGGGCTTTGCTTATATCAGGAATGAAGGATTCAGGAGGAGAGCTGGTGGCTATAACAGGTTTCTAAGGTTCCATAGAAACAGTCTGCTCCCTCCTCTGATTGCCTCCAGGAGACTTGCATTCTTCCATCTAACATGCCCTCATATACATGCTGGTCTCTTCTGGACTACCCAGTTGACTACCCACAGGGCCCTGGACCACACTCTTCTAACATGGCTGAAGAGAACTCTGGATTATCCTCCAAAGACACTGTCAGCTGCTGAATCTATGGTTGTTCTCACAGGGTGAGATTCTCAGTTTGAAAGGAGTAGAGCTAGGAACAGATATGAGTGGGCCCTTGGGGTCAATTCCAAGCTCTAAAGCAAAGCAAAAAAGCCCACAAAATCCCAAGAGAAGACGGCCATCCTATCTGTGCACCGTCTATCCTCTGCCTGAGCAGCAGGCAGCTCATCCTCTAGATGAGGTCACTGTATCCTCCAGACGTGGCCATTGCGATGAAAATGGGATTAAAGAGAAGCAAAGCAGCCTGGGCACTGTGCAGTTTCTGCGGCCTTTCGCCAACACTGCCCACCCACTCGCCAGGACACCACAGACAGTGTCTAAGCACATAGTATGCTACTCAGACATGTGACAAATGATCTAATCTCTTCTGCAAATGTGGCCAACACCTGTTTATCCTCGGCCTCATTGCCACTGTCTGGACCTCATCTTCCCAATAGTTTACCATGCCTTGGCCAGACCAGGAAGAAAAGCTGCAGAGTCCTGGAGAAGTGTCCAGGAAAGAGCAGGTCCCTTATGGCCCAGGGGTCCCAAAGTTTATGGTCTTGCTGAACTAGAGCCAGGAAGTTAATCACCTCCAATCCTTCCTTCAACCCTGTGGAATCAGTATTATTATCCTTCATCACAGGAGACTGGTCTGAGTTAGTCACCCATGCTACCCATGGCAGGCCTAAAGCCAAACACTTAGCCTGAACCTCATACTCATGGCCAGCTGAAATGGGAGAATTGCCCTGGTAGTGAGCAAATCCCATCCCTCAGGAGGCAGCAGAACCACCACCACCACCACCACTACCAAGGCTGTCCAGTCCCCAAAGTCTGAGAGGAGGGGCTGTCCAGAGCCAGTCCTGGGGGACCAGTCTGCTGGGTGCTCCTGAGCTCTGTGCTGTGGACACTGAGGTCCTTCAGAGAGGCAGCAGAGAGCACTGTTTCTCCAGTTGATAAAACAGGGCTGCAGGACAGGTGGGCACAAGAGTGCTCCTCCCTGCAAGACTGGGTCCACTCAGTGGGGACTGTTGCAGGACATGGATGCCATCCCATGGCACTCATGGACAACACCCTCATCCAAGCAGCACATGGCCCTAGGGCAAGGAAGGTGCCCACTGTGTCTCCGTGCTGTTCTGTGGGCTGCTCCTTCCAACTGTGAACCCTTGGCGGTACCGGGCACAGAACCCAACCTCAGTGAATGACAGTGGAATAGAAGCAAACAGGTGAGATCATACCTTGGCCTGCTGAAAATAATGAGACCATCTGGAAAGGATTAGAGAGCCAGCTCCCCTCACGGAAAAACTTAATGTAGCATTGGAAAAGCAGCATCCCTCTAGAAACCAAGGTTTGCTTAGTCTGAGGACAAGACACTGTGCCAAACACTCTACTCACTTGGGTTCACTCCGTTGCTGTGTGTTGGGTGCCTTCGGTGGGCCTCCCAATGCTGAGGACAGGGCATGGACTGTAGGAACGGTGGATTGAACACATGTTCCAGCTGAGGCTGGTGGCAGTCACAGGACTATGAAGCAAGAGGATCACCTGAGCCCAAGAGTTTGGGGAGAACCTAGGGAACATAGTCCTCAGTTCAGAGTCTCATGAAAAGAAAACACAAGACAACAATAACAGTTTGTAACCGGATATTCAAAACCAGGAAGGAAGTATGCTCCCGGGGCTGGCTTTCCCAGACATTATCTACCATGCCCAAGTGTTGGGTGTGGTTACCCCCACTTCTCAGATGAGGAAAGGGGGCACCAAGAATGGAAGTGACCAGTCAGTCCCTCAGAGCCTTGCAAGTCACCACTGTGTCACATAGGCTGACAGACTCCCAGCAATCTTACCCAGTGCTCTTGGCACCAATCAGTATTCAGTGTCGCCTCTGCATGGGACTCCCATCCCAAGGCCTCCTGGCTCCTCCTCGGTCCATCTCTAACCCTAGCTGTGGTCGCTGACATGCCTGGAGAGAGCTCAGTGTCTTGTCACTATCCCTGCCACCAACCAGCAGAATGTGACCCTAGGTGAAGGAATGGTTCCTCAGGCCACGGGAGTTCAAAGGAGGACCAGCAAAGGCTAAAAATTCCTAGGAAGCTTCCTGAGAAATGCTGGGATCCAGACAGACACAAAGAGAATGGAAAGGGCAGGCTGGCCCACCAGAGGGGACCCCAAAAAAAGGCCCCAAAGCTCCTACACAGAGATAGAAAAGACCGTTGGTGTTCTTAAGAATGGAGCAAGGCCACAGCCTAGGAAAGAGGGACACAAAGCAAACCACCTACAGCTTGCTGGCAGTCTCTTCATGTGAAGAAAGGGCTGGGGCTTGAACCTAACAGGAGGGGTCACTCCCAGTGTGGGTCAAGTGTCTGGGTCCTAGCTGGGATCCATGGACTGTGTCTCCACAGCAGCACCCTTTTCAGATTTCTTTTGGCAGTGTGCTTCTGAGAGTCTGCTGAGGAATGATGGGAAGAATGCCCAGTGGAGAGAGAAAAAAAAAAGGCCTGTCTAACCCAAGCTCCAGTTTCTCTGATAAACACAGGGACACGTGTGTGTCCACAAAACCAGGTAGGTCGTATCTGTGGAATCACCAGGGCCTTCCCAGGCCTCATGAGTCTATATAAACTTAGATCTCACCACCTCTGGGTCTTTGGCCAACAACCCTAACGCACAGCATCAAGCTTCAATGAAAGCCTGCAAATACCTTTTCCAGTGATCTACAGGTTCCCAGCTTCTGCTGAGTTTGCAGCCTTGGTGAAGACATTGCAGAGGCAGATAAAAGAGGAAACACGAGGGCTAGTCAAGTGGTGGAGCACCTGGTCAGCACACAGGGAGCCATGGCTTCCATCTCCAGCCCACACACATAAAATACTTAGTTCCTCAATCCCACGGTCCGCATTCCAAGTGTTCAGTGGCCTCATGTACTGAGTGCTACCTTATGAGGTAGCTTAGAAATAGGATATCTACATTATTTGTTACAGGAAGTTCTCAGCCTAAGAGATTATATGAAATACTTGACAGAGAATCGGTTTTCTTGCTGTATATGTGTGTTTGATTTATTTTTAATTGTGGGGGGTGCACATGAGTTTAAGTATTCATAGATGCTAGAGGCATTGGATCCCCTGTAGCTGGAGTTATAGGTAGTTGTGAGCCCCCTGACATGGGTGCTGGGAACCAAACTTGGTTCCTCTGCAAGAGCAATAAGAGCTCTTAGCTTCTGAGACATCTCTCCAGCCCCTTGTTTGATTTTTTTTTTAATCAAGTCTTGCTGTTTAGTCCAGGCACCTGGAACTTGCTGTTACAGACAAACCTGCTCTGAACTCACTCTCCTTCTGCATCAGACTCCTTAATGTTGGGGCTGTGGGTGCGCCCTAGCACTTGTGCGGGTTTAAAAATAAAGTATATGAGATTTACGTATTACTATTTATTTATTAATAGATAATTGTTCAAAATAATGGATTTCATACTTATGCTAAGTACTTTGATCATACTCATTTTCCATTACCCTTTCACCTCTCCCATCTTCCCTCTTCCTGAGGATTCCTTTCTACTTTCATGTCAGAGTGTGTGTGTGTGTGTGTGTGTGTGTGTGCGCATGTGTGTAACCTATGTTCCACAAATAAGATAAAACATACAACATCTTAAGTTGGCTTATTTTTACTAAACATATGATCTCTAACTGTATACATTTTCCTAAAAATGATATGTTGTTCATTATGAACAAATGAAACTCTGATACATGTATATGATACTTTTTCTTTCTCCATTCACTTGTTCATAGCCACCTAGACTGATTCTAAAGTTTGGGTATCATGAAAGTGGTAAAATAAATATAGATGTGCAGGGTTTTTTGTTTTGTTTTTGTTGTTCCAGACAGGGTTTCACTATGTAACCCTGGCTGTCATGGAACTAGCTCTATAAACCAGGCTGGCCTCGAACTCACAGAGAACTTCCTGCCTCTGCCTCCTGAGTACTGGGATTAAAGGCGTGCACCACCCTGCCCAGCTAGATGTGCAGGTTTTACCATGGTTTATTGATTTGAATTTCTTTAGGTATATATGAAGGAGTATAAGAATGATTTTCTAAGATATCCCT